CACTGGGCAAGTCTTAAACTTTAGTAAAAGTCCTTCTAATCTCAATCATCACCACTCACACACTATAATTTTCTTCTTTCAAATTTATCTCAATCTTGAATGGAATGGAAGAGACTGCCCAACTCTTCGCACCATAAAGTTTATAAGGCATAATGTTTTTAACTTAAGAGTTTCAAAGGCTGTGACAGAGTTAACACCTCCAGAAAAGGTGTGCCTATCTCTGTAGTGAGAGAGAAACCAAGCTGAGAGGCCACTCTGCATCTGAGCTGGAGGAGTAGAAGCAAGCCCTATTTCTCAGCCCACAATATAGTATCCAAAACAACACTTCAGCATCAGGAATTGTACATGGATTGCCAGCCCTTAAGAGATACTTAAAAAAACACATGCTAATACATTTTATATATGTATACATTAGACATAAACATCACACACAGCATCCCTAATATAAACATCCCCAACTGAAGCTCTTTGAGTACCAATATGTGCCACAAAAGAAAATGTCCACACCTGCCTTCATGTGACCAGTGAGAGACAAAATAAATTTATACAACAAAGTATAGTAAAGTACAAATAAGTTATGTGTTTAAACTTGTATCTATTCCCAGAGATCTCTCTTTATGCACATACAAATATTACAAAATTCAAAAGAATCCAAAGTCCCAAGCTGCCTGATCCCCAAAGTTCAGAACACTTCTGATCCCAAGAATTGTGGATATGGGATCATCAAAACGTACAGGATACTTGTGTAGAAGGCATACTATATAACTCCAAAAATCTATTCTATTGCACTGTACAATTTGAAAAAAACATTAAATTTGCAATTTGTGTTATTAATATTATTTTTAAATCACCTAAAAATGCAAAACTCCACATTGTACTATCAAATCAGTAGTCAGGAGATATATCAGATGTGCCCAAAATAAAATTATAATAAAAATACCCAGAACCCAAAGAGTAGCACTAGTGTAAAAGGAGACTGCCATTTACACACACTCATACTGCAGCTAATCGCCCCCAGCTCACTCCATCTACACAAAAGTGGAGTAAAGATAACAATAAGAATGTCAAAGGATACAACAACTGTTAAGGAAACAGTTACAAGCAAATAATACTAATGACAAATCAAGGCACTGACCTTGTTGTTTCTTCCATTATTTCCACATAAAAGCTCATTCTTTAGAGGCTGGAGAAATGACTCAGTGGTTAAGAGCACCGACTGCTCTTGCAGAGGACCACGGTTCAGTTCCCGCATGGCGGCTACAAACCATCCTTAACTCCAGTTCCACTGGAATCCAATGCCCTCCTCTGACCTCTGATGCATTGCACAATATGGGTGCACTCACATACATGCAGGCAATACACTCATACACATAAAATAAAAATAATAGATAACATATTTTTAAAAAGAAATGATACAGGGCAAAGCTAGGCCTGGTGTCACATGTCTTTAATCCCAGTACTCAGGAAGCAGAGGCAGGTGGATCTCTGTGAGGTCAAGGCCAACCTGGCCTATGTAGCAATTTCAAAGCCAGAGAAAGTACTAGTTGTCTTTTTAATAAGATAAAAATTCAAAGTGATCAGCCAGTCAAATAACTGTATCATATATTGCTCGATCAATGCTGTTTATTTTTTTCAGTGTACGTATGCACCTGTGTGTACATGCATGCATACATAGGAAAATAATGTTATGAGACCAAACTAAGTTATCCTTCCCAAGACTGTTCCTTGCCTCAAAACAATTCTTTCTCATCCTACATGCTATATATTCAACCGTTCTTTGACAGGAGAAAGTAAAAAGGTTTCACAGTGAAGCCAATAGTCATTTTACCCTCCTGAAAATAGTAACCAAGTATACCAATTAAAAGAACACATCATATACAACTAATCTCCAATGTTATGTACCTGTAACATAAGGAAATACATATTTATAAATAAAGGAAATACTATAAAGTAAAACCTTAGGTCAATGTCCAGAAAAGAGTAAATAATATCTATTCATAAATTCTTGCATACAATGGAGATTCAGAGTGGACTAAACTAAAAGATAAAAAATATTCAGTTTTGTAACTTGGTAAATGATTAGAACACAACACCTAAATATAAAAAGCATTTCTGCGGGGTTGCTGTCTAACTTTTTCAAATATAATCATATGTCTGCTATGTTCCAAACCTATATTATTAAGGAGAAACTATACCTTAATTTCTACACAGCAATGATAACTTTGAGCCAAGTTCCTCAGGCACCTGTCCACCTTAGGTACTCATCCCACAGACAAGGCCACGTAAATAGTGCTGAAATCAACCAAACTGTCAGGGAATACTTTTAAGGATTTCAGCTATTCATGTTAGTGTTTAGTGGGTGCTTGAATATGCAGGCTAGATGAAAGAATAGACAGGAAAAACTGAAAATCAAGAGAGACTTCTGCTGCAAAGCATACATGGCAAATTATGAATGATTTCAAATCCTCATTTCCCTGTTTCATACCTATTTCAGTTCTTTCTCTCTTTCTCTCTCTCCCAGTCTATCTCTCTCCTCTTCCCTTTCCTCTCTCGTGTCATCCTTCCTCACAGCTGATGGCTTCCTAAGGTACTGAAGGAAATGTGCAAGGACCTCCTCCCACTTCCTTACCTCCCAGTGGACTGTCAACCCTGCTGTCATGCAGCACAGATCCCTGAGATGGATGTTCAGCCCCCGTAACTTTGTTTCTACTGGGCTAATAATGTATCCCAAAATAGATGATAGAAGATATATTGATGATAGATGATGGATGGATACACAACAGATAGATAAAGGATGAATAGCACGTGCTAGATGATTGATATCTAGATGGATGGATACTAGAATAACAGAAAAAATGCCATCTAGACCCCCTATCAGGTATATTTTACTTACAGTATTCTGGATATACATAAGCCTAAAGTTCATATGTCCCAATCTCTCACTTTGCAATAACAGTCAAAAAAAAAAAAAAAAAGGCTAAAAATGAGGTCTGTATATCCCAGCTGTTCCAGGAAAACTTTTCAAACTTTTCCTTTGGAGAAGAGCTGCAGAATAAACACAATAAAGAAAGGATTCCCCTTATAAAGCTCCCGGGGCCACCGCCTACCTTTCCCAGCATCCCTCAACCTCTCCCCAAGTCTTGGCTCAGGTTTTAAGCAGCTCATGACTGAACTCCAGTTTTCTTTACACCAAGACATTTTTGCCATTCTAAAACATCCTCCACACCGCTAATGTGGATTTCTGATAGGCTTGGTATGATACCTCTTTTGAGAAAGGTTACTGTGTCTTTTGGCAATGCGGGTTATCATAATCTCAAGGCTGTTTTTCATAAGTGAACTGGCCCTACATATCCTAATGCCCTCCAGCCTGCTGCATCCCACAGGTACTTACTGCCTCTCAGCCTGTGCACTGACAGCACACTCCCTCCAAGTAGCAGCCCAAGTCAACCAGAACTCACTCTCTGACCCACTCATGTGGGTCAACCATCTGAAACGTCATCTGTGTGTGTGTATGTGTGTGTGAAGCAGGTCAAAGCAAAGTTTGTCCATATTAATTCAGCCCGGTTTGGATATTTTGACACGGTATCATTCTCTTTTGAGTTTACTATTAAATTTTATGGAATTGCATGAGCTTTTTAGAAAATTTCATTACACGTGGGGTGTATACTTCTGGAGCACTGCTTTTTAATTAACTGATCTGCATCCTAACAGTTTCTTGAAGCCTATAAAACCTCCTTTAAAGTAAGGTAGTCAGAGTCAAGAATGCCCCAATTCACTCATATTCTTGAGGTTAAGAACTGGACAGCATTCAGTAAGTACCAGCATTAGAAAAACTGGATCTTGTACAGGAAAGCTGCAACAGTTAAGTTACACTTGATAGAAAGTATCACTCCCTTCAATAAACACACACTGTTAACCTGAATCTGACCTTCAGAATTCTCACTCCCTAGACGAGTGATTTCTTGATCCATGGCTTTTCCCCTGTATCCTTCTGCTCAGGGTCACCATCACAACCCTCAAAGTTTAGCACACTTTATTCCAAATAGTTCATGGAAATCTTTCATGATTATTCATTAAAAGGTGGACACAGTGTGTCTTCCAGGGTTGAAATTCAACACTTTTAGCTAACTCCTCCCCAAAGACTGGCACTAAGCCTTGCCCTTTATCTTACCGCGTCTTTTTATGAAGCGCCCCTCTGGACAGCTAGGGAGAGAATCTAAATTCAAAACCGCTCTGCAAACAGTGATACATGGGTGGCTTAGCCCAGGATAACGGCCCTTTCCCCAGCCTGCCTTTGGTGGCCGCTGTCCAGAGTCCCACAGCCTCAAAATAAAGAGTACAGCCAGCACCGGGTGTTCCTAGAACTCCAGACCTTCATTACTTCAGTCTCCGAACATGAGTGCCCAGGAAATGAATAATAGGAAAGCTGTAAATTTCAGGGTTTACTACTGGAAAAATCTCTTTCTACCATCACGCGGAGGGGCTACTAAACCCAGCGGGGACTTGGGGGGTGGTGCGCCGCTCACTTGTTTTCACAGCTGGCCTGCTCGGTCACCCTTTCTTAAAAGCTGATTGACAGGTGAGAAATTTCTGGTCACCAGGTCACCCCAGGAACTCCCCAGCATCCACGTGAGCCGGGAAGGGAGGCTGGAGGAAAAGGGAGCGGTGCTGCAAAGGCGCCCAACCGTCCCAGGGGAACTCCGGTGCAGGAAAGGGGATTCTGGCGCCGGGAATGCGCTGGTCCTGGGTCCAGAGGAAAGTCGGGACGGCCACTGCCGGGCAGCCGGAAAGCCGCGAGGAGAAGGGGGGGCGGGAGGGGAGAAGTGCGAGATTCCTAGAAATGTCACAGGAGTGATGGGAAAGGAGGAGAGGAGGCCGACGGAGCCGAGGAGGCTGGAAGACGCGGGGCAGCACCGGGCGCCCGGGGTGCGCGCCGAAGCCAGGCGGCCGGGGACGGTGGGGGGTCGGGGCGCGCGGGGCGGCGGCCGCGGACGCCTTACCTTCTGGTCCACGATGGAGCAAGCCATCTCG